GATAATTGCATCAGTTACTGGTATGATGGCCCCTTCTGATCTTCGCTTTTTAAGGATATGGATAACAGGTGGCTCGAGTCCCGTTTTGCTCCCCTTTAGCAGTTCACTATCCAGCAAGTCACCAAACTGTCGTTCTCGCAAAACAATAGGGTCGCGAACTGCGCCGCCAGTAATAGCGACAACTTTAGGACCAGAAAGAGAGAAATCGAACTTCTTCTTCTCCTCATCTCTTCTAAAAATGCTGCTGAGTAGTCTAGTGCTCGTTAGATGCCTAACATATTTTCTCTTCGATTTTTTGGCCTCATCCAAAGGCTCAACAATTTCCGGCACAGCTAATGGTGGTTTTTTGTGAGAGGGGATTTTCTCTAACCGGGCCACTAACTGTGCAACACGGTTTTTTGCAGTACTTTCGGGTTTGTGGGATGTAAATGGAGAGACATAGTGATGCGAATGGCGACGTTCGCCAACAAGATCCCTAAGAAAATTGGTGCGCTCCGTAAAACGGGATGGCAACTGCTCCCTGCTTGATGTTCTCCACGAATAGCCAGTTATCGTGGCCATTTCAATCTATGAAAGGACCAGTTTTATGGGGAAAAATTACTCGAACAAAAAAAGTAGTCGAATAGTCAACAAAGAAGTCTAGAAACAACGAGCGTTTGTGACTATGAGATCATGATTTTTAAGCACTGCAATAAAGGAAAAAATGTAAAGAAGTTCAGAGGAATATCGTCAGTATAAAGGTGAATTAGAAACGCTTGCATTAAAACTACTGAGAAACTCGCTGATTCTACATTTGTATCAAAGAAATCCATGCCTTATAGATCACAAATCTTGCAAGAATTACCAGATTTTTTCGAAAATGATACACGTTGAAGAGCTGTTGAGGAGCTTGGAACAAAAAGTGCATTTACAACCGCATTACGACGGAATGAAACAATGGAGTTTTGACGCTAGTGCTGAGATAAAAAATGATCCTAAAGACAGCGGTAAATCAGAGCAGTGAACAAGACTTGAGCACTGCTTTGATGCGAGCAGTAAATACTGAGAGCAACGTTTCAACAAAGTCCCTATGATGACGGGAGCGATAAAAAGGTTAAGGATAATCATTTCAGTTGAATTTTCGCTAATATGTAATAAGATTAATGTTATGCGCCTAAGTGCAAGCCGATGGTTGTGGCTTTACCCGAACATCGTGAGATCAACAAGAAACGCGGTGAATAAACAATACAAGAGTCACTGTTGAGCTTTGCTTTTCTCTCAGACTATCACTGACAAACCAATCATGAGGAATTTTGCTCGCAACTGGATAGAGGAATAACTGATAGAGACTAACTTGCTCAATAATGAGGAAAGAAAGGATATTTGCATCATAATCACAATTATCTACATTTAAAAACTAAAGAGTGGAAGAAAAATTAGGAATGCAAAACTGTCATGCAAAGAGACAGACTCCACTTTTAAACGACTTATCTCAGTCTGCTTTTCAGAGCTACCACTCAAAAACAGAAGACCTATTTGAATAAAAGATTAGTCAGGCAAGTTTACAACGCA